CATGGAGAGAGGGGTCGCCCGGGTGGTACAGCTGGTTAAGTGTCCAACTCTTGGTTTCAGCTCAATCCTGATCTCAGGGTTATTAGATTGAGCCCCGTGTTGGGCTCTGTGCTTAGTACAGAGTTAGCTTGAGATTCTCTTCCCCTCTCCCTCTGCCCTTCCCACTCATTCTCATTCTCTTTCTCTCTCACACACACAGGAATAAATTAATTTAAAAAAAATATATGGATGGAGTAAAAATGTAGTGCTTTTAGAAATGTATGAACTTAAGTGACCATCAACTTAAAACAGACTGATATATACATGGGACACTATATATGAACCTTATGGCAACCATAACCCAAAACCCTGTAATAGATACAAAAAAATTAAGAGAAAGGAATTCAAGCATAATAAAAATGTCACCAAATCACAAGGAAAGAAAGTTCTAGAAGGAAAAAGGAACAGAGAACTACAAAACAAGAAAACAATTAACAAAATGGCAATAAGTATATACCTATACCACAATAATTATTTTAAATGTAAATGACCTAAACACTCTCATCAAAAGACACAGGGTGAATTAATTAATGGATTAAAAATATAAAACCCAACTATACAATGCCTATTAAACACTCACTTCAGACCTAAAGACACATACAGACTGAACATGAGTGGATAGAAAAAGGTATTTTGTGCAAATGGAAATTAAAAAAAAAAAAAAAAAAACCTAGACAACAACAATTTGTATCTTACAAAACAGACTTTAAAACAAAGACTGTAACAGGACAAAGAAGGGCATTACATAATGATAAAGGGATCAGTCCAACCAGAAGATATAACAACTGTAAATATCTATGCACCCAACAAAGAAGCACCTAAATATGTAAAGCAAATATTAACAAGCATAAAGAAGTTGATAGGGGTTCGTGGCTAGCTCAGTCAGTAGAGTATGTGACTCTAGATCTCAAGGTCATGAGTTCAAGACCCATGTTGGGCATAGAGTTGATGGACAGATGGAAGGAAGGAAGGGAAGAAGGAAGGAAAGAAAGGAAATTAACTGACAGTAATACAACAATAATAGGAGATTTTAACACCCCACTTACATCAATGATAGATCATACACACTGATCAATAAGGAAACAGTAGCTTTAAATGACATATTGCCAGATGGACTTTACACACACACACACACACACACACACAGAGAAAATTCCATCCAAAAACAGCAGAGTGTACACTCTTTTCAAGTGCACATGGAACATTCTCCAGGATAGAACACATGTTAGACCACACAGCAAGTATCAATACTTTTAAGACTGAAATCCTAGCAAGCATCTTTTCAGACCACAAAGGTATTAAACTAAAAAAATTAATTACAGGAAAAAAACACAAATATGTGGAGACTACACAACAGGCTACTAAACAACCAATGAATCACCAAAGAAATCAAAGAGGAAATAAAAAAATAACTTAAGACAAATGAAAGCGGAAAACCAATGTTCCAAAATTTCTGGGACACAGCACAAGCAGTTCTAAGAAGGGTGTTTATAGCAGTACAGGCTTACCTCAAGAAATAAGAAAAATCACAAACAGTACAACCGTACACCTAAAGAAAAACTAGAAAAAGAAGAACAAAGTCCAAAGTTAGAAGGAAGGAAATAATAAAAAGCAGAAATAAACGGAGACAAAGAAATAGAAAAGACGTATAAAAGACTATGAAAAATTATATTCCAACAAATTTGACAACCTAGAAGAAATGGATAAATTCCCAGAAATATATAATCTTAGAAAACCAAATTAGGAAGAAACAGAAAATCTGAACAGAACATATTTCTAGTAATGAAATCAGTAAGAAAAAAGCTAAAAAAGCTAAAAAAAAAAAAAAAGTTCAGGACCCAATGCCTTTACAGGTGAATGCTACCAAACATTTTTTTTCAAGATTTATTTATTTATTTAAGAGCACAAGCACACAAGCGGGAGAGGGAGAGAGAATCTAAAGCAGACTCTGTGCTCAGCATGGAGCCTAGTGCAGGGCTCAGTCTCACGACCCCAAGATCACAACCTGAGCTAAAACCAAGAATCAGACACCCAACAGACTGCACCACCCAGATGCCCCAGATTCTACCAAACATTTAAAGAAGACTAACCTATCCTTCTCAAACTATTTCAGAAAACTGAAGAAAAAGGAATGCTTCCAAATTCATTTCATGAGGCCAGCATACCGATACCAAAACCAAAGTCACTACCCACCCCCCCCCAAAAAAAAGAAAAAGGAAGAAAGAAAGATAATTACAGGCTAATATCCCCAATAAACATGGCTACAAAATAATAAAATATTAGCAAACCAAATTCAACAATATATTGAAAGGATCATTCACCATGATCAAGTGGAATTTATTTCAGAGAGGCAAGGATGGTTCATTATTTGCAACTATCTGATACACCACAATCAATGATAAAAATCATGATCATTTCAATAGATGCAAAAAAGGCATTTAACAATTCAACATCCATTATGATTAAACATTTTTAAAAACTCTCAATAATGTGGGTACAGAGGAAATATACCTTAACATAATAAAGGCCATATATGACACCCACGGCTAACATGATACTCAACAGTAAAAAGCTGAAAGTTTTTAAGACCAGGAACAAGACAAGGATGTCCACTCTAATCACTTTTTATTCAACACAGTACTGCAAGTTCTAGCCACAGCAATCAGACAAGAAATAAAAGGCATCCAAATTCCTAAGGAAGAAATAAAACTGTCACTATTTGCAAATGACATGATACTATATTTAGAAAACCCTAAAGACCACCAAAAAAAACTTTGAATTCAGTAAAGCTTGAGGATACAAAAATCAATCTATAAAAATCTGTTGCAGTTCTATACACTATACACTAATAACGAGCTAGCAGAAAGAGAAATTAGGAAAATAATTCCATTTACAATTGCATTAAAAAGAATAAAATACCCAGTGGTGTACCTGGGTGGTTCAGTTCGTTGAGTACCAGACTCTTGGTTTTGGCTCAGGTTATGGTCTATGGGTCATGGGATTGAGCACTGCATCAGGCTCCATGCTTTGAAATTCTTTCCCTTTCCTACTGCTCAGCCATGTGCTCTCTCTCTCTAATTCTCTAAATCTTTTTTTAAAAGATTTTAAGAATAAAATACCTAGGAATAAATTTAATCAAGGGGGTGAAAGACCTGTATTCTGAAAACTATTAGGACACTGAAGAAAGAAGATGAAGACAATCAATAAATGAAAAAAATACACCACACTCATAGATTGAAGAATATTGTTAAATATTGTTAAAATGCCCATTACCTAATCTAATCTGTAGATTATAGATTAGTAATCTACAGTTTCAGTGCAAGTCCTAACAAAATACCAATAGTATTTTTCACGGAACTAGAACAAATAATCCTACAATTTATATGAAACACAAAAGATTCCAAATAGCCATGAGAAAGAAAAGGCTGGAACCATCATAATCCTAGATTTTAAACTATACTACAAAACTGTAATAATCAAAGCGGTATGGCACTGGCACAGAACACACATACACACATAGTTTGATGGAACAGAACTCCCAGAAATAAACCCACACTTATACTGGCAATCTACAACAAAGGAAACGAGAATATATAATAGTGAAAAGACCGTCTCTTCAGTAAGTTTTGCTGGGAAAACTGGACATCTATATGTAGAAGAGTGAAATAACTTTTTTACCACATGCACAGATACACACAAAAATTCAAATTGAAGACCTAAATATAAGCCCTGAAACTGCAGAACTTTTAAAAGAAAACATAGGCAGTATATTCTTGGAATTTGGCCTTAGCAATGTTTTTTGGAACTGTCTCCTCAGGCAAGGGCAACAAAAGCAAGAATAAACAACTGGGTCATGTCGAACTAAAAAGCTTCTGCACAGCCGAAGAAACTGTCAACAAAATGAAAAGGCAACCTAATAAATGGGAGAAGATATCTGCAAACAATATATCCAATAAGGGGTCAATCCAAAATACATAAAGAACTCCTAGAATTCAACGGCAAAAATAAATAAATAAATAAAATCTTTAAAAAAAAAAAAAAGATTGTTGGGTGTTGTTTTTTTGTTTTGTTTTGTTTTTTTTATTTGACAGAGATCACAAGTAGGCAGAGAGAGAGGAGAGAGAGAGGAAGCAGGCTCCCCGCTAGGCAGAGAGCCCAATGCGGGACTCAATCCCAGGACCCCAGGATTACTACCTGAGCCAAAGGCAGAGGCTTTAACCCACTGAGCCACCCAGGCACCTGGTAAAAAACACCCAATAATCTGATTTTTAAAAGGATCTGAAGACATCTCTTAAAAAGGAAAAAAAAAAAACAAAAAAACAAAAAAAAAGCAAAAGCAGAAAAACACCATACAGACATCCAATGGACACATGAAAAGATGCTCAACATCACTAATCACCAGAGAAATGGAAATCACAATCACAATGAGATTATCAGCTCAAAACTGTCAGAATGGCTAGTGTACATATAAGAAACCGTATTTTATATATACATATATATGTATACGTATGTGTGTGTATTTAATAACAAGGGTTGGAGAGACTGTGAAGAAAAGAGAAACTCCGTGCACTGCTGGTGGAAATATAAACTGATACAGCCACTATATAAACAGTATGAAAGTTCCTCAAAAAAGTAAAATATAGATGATGATCCACATGATCCAGTAATTCCACTTCTGGGTATTTATCCAAAGAAAACAAAAATGCTAATTTGAAAAGATATATGCACCCCTATGTTCACCACAGCATTATTTACATTAGCCAAGACATGCAAGCAACCCCAAGTGTCCACCAAAAGATTAAAGGATAAAGATGTGGTATGTGTTTACACACACACACACACACACACACACACACACACACACAGGAATACTACTCAGCCATAAAAAAGAGGTATCTTGCCAAATTGTGACAACATTGATGGACTAGAGGGCAGTAATTAAATGAAATAAGTTAGAGAAAGACATATACTGTACAATTTCACTTAAACATGGACTCTAAAAAACAAAACAAAAACAGGAACAGATTCTATATACAGAAAACAAACTGGTCATTTCCAGAGGGGAAGGGGAGTGGTAGAATGGGCCACACAGGTGAAAGGCATTAAGAGGTAAAAACTGTTATAAAATAAATAAGTCACAGGAAAGAAAAGTACAGCATTAGGGAATACAGTCAATAATGCTGTAATAACTTCGGTGACAGGTGGTAACTACACTTACCATGGTAAACATTTTGTAATGAATATAAATGTCCATTCACTACACTATAACACCTGAAACTAATATATTCTATGTCAATTACACTTCAATTAAATATTTTTAAAAATAAAAAGAATTTAACCAGACTTTTTCTAGGAAAAACACTATGAAAAGTTATTTAAAATCCTACTTTGTTTTGCCCAAGAAAGCTTTTTAAAAAGAAAACTTTTAAGTTTTAAATAAGGAGTATTTTAGGGGTCCCTGGGTGGCTCAGTCATTAAGCGTCTGCCTTTGACTCAGGTCATGATCCCAGAGTCCTGGGTTCGAGTCCCACAACAGGCTCCCTGCTCAGTGGAGAGCCTTCTTCTCCCTCTCTGGGGGCTACTCCCCCTGCTTGGCTCGTTCTCCCTTTAGTGGTGTCTGTCAAATAAATAAACAAAAGCTTTAAAAAAAAAAAAAAAAAAAAGAACTGGGAGTAGTTTATATACTTTTACATTTAAGGGGGGGAAAAAGATCCAGTTTCACTGTTAAAATGGTAAGTTATTCTCCATAATGTGAGAATGAGGCCAATGTCATGTTATCTTGTCAGCAATAAATTTTTAAAAATACTTTAAAGGACTATAAGGGCACCTGGGTGGATCAGTTGGTTGAGTGTCCAACTCTTCATTCTGACTTGGGTCATGATCTCAGGGTCATGGGACTGAGCCCCACATCAGGATCCTCACGCAACAGGGTGTCTGCTAGAGATTCTCTCTCCCTGTCCCTCTCCAAGACAAATAAATTAAAAAAAAAAAAAAAAAAAGGACTATACATGTTTAGTGTCAAAAGTAAAACACAAAAAAAGATAAAATTGTTCATAATGCATTTCTTGGTATTTACGCAAATTTTTCAACTCTTACTAAAAGTATGTTGTTTAAAAGAGGATTTAAGTACACCATTTGAAGATAACTTTGGTAACAAAGAGTTTATATGGAACCTAATTTCAAAAGCTTATTTCTGTCCAATGATTTAAAAAAATGTTTTTTCAGATAACTTTCTTCATATGTACAGAATAGCAGCTTTTTTATCACAGAAGTTCCCTGACCTTAAACACTTGCTTGGTGAAACAGCCTGGACCTTCTTTGTGGTGTAACTAAAATAGCACCAATATGGTTTCAAAAAGGGACAGAATCAGTATCTTTTTTTTTTTTTTTAAGGACTTTAAGTAATCTGTACACCCAACGTGGGGCTTGAACCCACAACCCCAAAATCAACTGAGCCTGCGAGGCACCCCAAGATCAGTACCTTTACAGCCAGATTCTTCAGAGAAGAGACTTCAAAAACTCAAGGCTTTTTTTTTTTCCCCCTAGACTGTAACTCAGTACTTTTTCAAACTATGGGGTATGTTTCATTAGTCGTCAGGAAATCATTTTGGTGAGTTATGACCAGCTTTCTTCAAAAATAAGAACAGAATGTATCACACATAGTACAGATAAGTACTGTTTTGAGAAATCTTTGATTCAGGTACACGCACATTATAAAAACATAGATTTTGGGGTGCTTGCCTGGCTCAGAGAAGCAGGCAACTCCTGACCTTGGGGCTGTAAATTCGAGCCCCACGTAGGTGTGGTGATTACTTCAATAAAAAAAATTTTTTTTTAAGTACTGTTTAGTGTGGACCACTAAGTTTGAAAGCCCAGAATCCCTACACCAACTTAAATCAATTTCTCTAAATGCATTAACCCACAAAATACATCTTCCTACCCTTGAATGAATGATCACTTTTTAAAGGAGCCATCTAATCTTAAAGTGTCCTTCTTAGCCCTCCCAATGAACTATGTGTGTGCTAATACTATCTTACATTTAGAAATAGCTTTCCTGGGGCACCTGGGTGGCTCAGTGGTTTAAGCCTCTGCCTTCAGCTCAGATCATGATCTCGGGGTCCTGGGATGGAGCCCCACGTCTGGCTCTCTGCTCAGCAGGGAGCCTGCTTCCCCCTCTGTCTGCCTGCTTCCTCCTCTCTGCCTGCTTCTCTGCCTACTTGTGATCTCTCTCTCTCTGTGAAATAAATAAAATCTTAAAAAAAAAAAAAAGAAATAGCTTTCCTACTTTACGTAATTCTTCCTGTTTTCATGTACTTCATTGCTATGTGTACTCAAAAAAACTTAGTATATTAAATTTTCATTCTTTTCTCACTTTCAGTCATTTTATGGCTTTATCACTCAAATTTACTGTGAAGATATCCACTTCAATGGATACACTGAGACCATTCTCCAATGCTGACTGGGTACATGGTTAACTAACTTTTTAGCAATATGCCATTTTTTTAGGGAGGGGAACAGGACAGGGAGAAAGAGAATCCCAAGCAGGCTACATGTCCAGTGTGGAGCCCAATACGGGGCTCAATTTCACAACCCTGAGATCACAATCTCAGTGGAAACCAAGAATCAGGCACTTAATCAACTGAGCCACTCAGGCACCCCAATAATACGCCTTTTTTTTTTTTAAGATTTTATTTATTTGACAGAGAGAGAGAGATCACAAATAGGCAGAGCAGAAGACAGAGAGAGGGGGAAGCAGACCCTCTGCTGAGCCAAGAGCCCAATGTGGGGCTCAATCCCAGGACCCTGAGATCATGACCTGAGCCGAAGGCAGAGGTTTAACCCACTGAGCCACTCAGGTGCCCCTAATATGCCATTTTTAAGGCATGGAAGGTATATACCCATGGTTCTTACACTATATAGTCTTTTACTAAATTACTGAATTTTTTTTTAAAGATTTTATTTATAAGACAGAGAGAGATCACAAGTAGGCAGAGAGGTAGGCAGAGAGAGCGGGGGGGGGGGGAGCAGGCTCCCCGCTGAGCAGAGAGCCCGATGCGGGGCTCGATCCCAGGACCCTGAGATCATGACCTGAGCAGAAGGCAGAGGCTTAACCCACTGAGCCACCCAGGTGCCCCCAAATTATTGAATTTCTAATATTCATCTCTCTCTAAAATTAGCCCTTCCTCTACATTCTCATTTATCACTTCTTATAATGATCTTTGTTGTCATGAGGCCTTCCGTTTCCTGCCTACTGAGATGATGTTTTTTTCCACCTTTCAAAGAAAACACCAAATGAGAGTGTGGTGTTAACTATTTCACTGAATTTACTGTAGACTGCATCCCCAATTTAAATCCTTCTCCAGGGGCACCTGGGTGGCTCAGTGGTTAAAGCCTCTGCCTTTGGCTTGGGTCATGGTCCCAGGGTCCTGGGATCGAGCCCCAAATCGGGCTCTCTGCTCAGCAGGGAGCCTGCTTCCCTTCCTCTCTCTCTGCCTACTTGTGATCTCTGTCTGTCAAATAAATAAATAAATAATCTTAAAAAAAAAAAAAAAAGATTTAAATCCTTCTCCAGAGCACATACAACAAAGATTATACTTATTTACAATCTTGCAACTTTAAAAAAAAAGTCTCTTCTGGATTGTTTCAGAGATTGCAGTCCTTGTACAGTATGAAAATCTTAAAATGTATAAAGATGGTTTCCAGAAGTCTTTGAGGACAGCCCTTCACAAGAATTTTATTCTCAAAGCCTCTATTGAGGCTTTGGTCCTTAATATTCTTTAGGGCAAGCACCGGAAATTCTCCCTCATAAAGCCTCCCTTCTTTACTCCCTAATCATAAAGAATTTACTACTCCCTACTTTTTTTCATAGTCATATTATTTAAATCAATGTTAATAGCACTTCCCCTCTTATATTATACTTATTTACATGTCTGCCTCCCTACCCACCTGTAAACTCCTTAAAGATAGAGTACATGCTTTCTCTGTTCTCCCAGAACTTAGCAGGACACCTGACCCACAGGAATTACTCAACTAAGACTTCAAAACCAATGGATGGTAGTTAGAGAATCTAAAATTTATGTAAATTAAGGAAACAATGGCTATTTATGAGATGTAACATAAAATTAGAACCAAAAACAAGCATTCATGAAAAACACACATATTTAACAAGGCCTGTTATAGTTATCTGAACAGTAACAACAGTATTAGTTTGCTCTCTACTTTGCCACATGCCAAAACTCACTAGGTAACAAGATACACACATCAAATATTTCTAAAATTTCTAAAAATTCTATAGCAAATAAGCAGCAACAATAAAGATAATGATGATACTGGTTAATAGCTATTGAGTTCTTTACATTTCAGTGTGTACAACACTATTAAGAACATACAGCATTATGTATAATACGTAGCTCTTTACATTTCAATAAGTACGTAGTATCAGTTCTTTATATACCATATCATTTAATCATCCCAACAACTCTGAGAGAAACTATTATCCTGATTTTGAAGGACCAAAAAGGTTAAATGAAATTGTCTAAGGTTACAGAGCGAGCCAAGAGTATTCACAAAATATCTAAGGTCAAACTCACAACATTTACCAGGACTTTATCACACCATCATTCTTTGTTCTTAAGGCAGATAAGATCAGTTCATTTGTAAGACAAGCTCTTCCTCAGATGAGGCGCCAGATTTCAACCTTGTGGCTGCCTGCTCTAGCTTCCTGATGGCTGGCTTTTTCCTTCTACTCTGGTAACTTATCTTTATTTTTACAATAAAAATTAAATTTGGACAGGGAAAATAAAAAAGTTTTCCATAATCTTACTCATCCTAACACATATAAATATCAGTTCAAAATCTACCACCTTTTATTAGCTGTGTGGACTTTGTCAAAATGCTTAACTTCTCCCACACCATTTTTACTCAACCATTCATGCAATAAACATTACTGAACACCCACTACATACCCAGGTGCTTCTCTAGTAGCTTAGGTTAACTCAGTGAATGAGCCACAAAGATCCCTGGTATTAGAAGTATATCATCCATCAGAGAGACACATAGTAAAATAAATTAGATAATATAATAATGGGTTATAATCATTGCTGGGAGAATAGAGGCAAGCTGCAATTTATAATGGTCAGAGTAGGCCTCAATGAGGAGGTAACAGCTAAGCCAAGACTTGGAAGTCAGGGAGGTTGATTTGCAGACAGCTGGAAGAACATTCAGGGTACAGGGAACAGCCACAGAAAACCGTAAAGCAGAAGTGTCCTGTGTACGAAGAAGAGCAAAGATATCCTAAAATTCAGTGAAGTCAAACTACAGTTGAAGGGATGGGGGACAATGCAGATAACATACTACCTTATAGGTCTCAGTAAGGACTTCACTTTTACTGGGTGAAATGCGAAGCCACTGAAAGGTTCTGAGCAGAGAAGGCACACCATCTGTCTTAGGTGCTAAACAACTACTCCAGCTGCTACACTGCGAATTAACTACACAAGCAGTAGGTTCATAATTAAAAGAAGATGCCTGAGCTGAAGAATTAACTGTAAAAGAAAATAATACTTACTTCAATGAGTTGTTATGAAAATTGTCCGGTGTGCCTTTCACATAGTAAA